TCAAATAAATCAGATACATTTGAGTCTGAAGTTGTAACAACTTTCATTAAAACCTAGGCTTCCCCCAAGCTGGTAAAAGCATTCAAGTATGCCAGCAATATTTTCAATAGTGGGTGCCACAGCATCCCTGAGAGCAGAAAAATCCACCCAGACAGATGGGTTATAGAAAGCATGGTTGCAAGGGAGTCACCCTGGCTGTAGAAAGCTAATGTTCAACCATGAAACACAGAGGCCAAAGTCGTGGCATCTCCTGGTGAGGGGGACCCAAGTGCTGGGTGAGGGCCAGCTGAGGTCCCACGCTCTCTGAGAATCAGCCAGCTGCCTCTGGACCCCCCCCGGGAGCTGTGCAGTTGCCCTTGTGTGGCTCAGAGCCATGTCTCTGGTGTCTCCATGGGAGTGCCACTTGCAGCTCTCACAACAGATCAACCACCAACTCAGTGTGCACAGCAGTGACCTTTCTCTCACCTCCAGCAGTAAGGCTAAGGATGCTGCTCTCCTCTTTACAATAATAAAACTTCCCTGTCTCTTGAGGTCAACCAAAATTTTCACTGACAAGTCACAGCAATCACACACCACAAGGAGCATCTTATTTTCTGTCTTTACAACAGATCAATAGCTACAAATAATTCTGCTTCTCTTCATGCAGTAGAGGTACCTGCTTGAAATTGGAATGAGCTTCCCTAGTAGGTGCAAGTAGTCTGTTTTCTTCATTTTGACTAATTTCTGAGAATGGGATCTTTTTCAAACTCTGTTAAGTCCAAATGAAAGAAGATGAATGGTCCTAATACTGAGAAAACCAGAAGGCTGTATCACTGAAGTGTCAAATCTGCCAGTGTGAGATTCAGTGGGATATTTAAAGGCACCACATCAGCCTAAGCATCTACAGCCATTTACAGCTCCTTGTCTGTTTGTTTATATTGCAAGTATTCTTGTGAATTACAGTAAAGGTCCAGCTACACCTTTAGCCACCTAAATACCCCTGGAAACCTGGCCCATGGTGACCAGAAATACCCACAATTCACTAAATGAAAACTAGTTTTAAGGCAGAAGTGATACTGGCTTTACCTAACAATGATGCCAACCTTCCTTCATGTTTCTGTTCGACATCCTCAAGCTCTTGCCTCTCAGGAGTAATCCCAGGGAAGGCACTGCCCAGCTCCCTGTGGGATCATTCCTGCTGTTAGTGGGTCAAGCAAGGAGGCACTGGTTGGGACCTCTCTCTCTTTTCTAGCCAGCAGTCACTGTTTATGAAATTAAACCCCACCAATAAATTGTTGACAAATTTGGACAATTAGCATTGGAATATTACAGGGGAGAAGAAGAAAATTATTGTAGGAGTATTTACAGGACTCCCAATTCCTTGCAAAACAGTGCTAAAACACTTTTGGTTTTCCATGCTGTTCTGCTCTACTTTGTCATATCTTGTGCTTGACAGATGACATTCTTCTCCTCTGATTCCTTCCAGACTATGTTTTCAAGAAAATGGATTCAGTAACTCCTCATTTTTAACGTAAGAAAAACTGAAAACATAAGGATTTGGAACCTTGATAAATAGGTTTTGCTTATACAACTACACAAAGATGGATTTTGTGGTTTTTGTCAGCACCTAAAAAATGCACCTAGTCAAACAACAATATTTAGTTTCAGTTCTCCATGTCTCCAAACTGCATCTACCAATGAGAATGAACTTTATATACATTAAGGAAAAAAACCAAAACATTCAAGAGCAAAACCAGTAGAAATTAAGTAATTAAATAAATCAGTCTGTCCTCTAGCAACAGCCACATTTCTTAAGTGTTTGCTTATCCTAATAGCCTTGCAATCTTTTCCACCATCACAGGTCCAGATGAAACTTTAATTATTGTTAAACATTACTGACTATAGCAATATATTAAGTGGGAAGAACAGAACAGACAATGGCTATTATCTATAGAACACAATTTTTACAGCTATTATAAAAATAGTTTAACTTATCAAATAATGCTATAACTAAGTTTTTTATAAATAATATTTAATAATAAAATAAAAAGTGAAGAATGAACTACACTATAATTTTGAACATAATATTTCACTTTCTTGTGAGAACAATACAACCAAAAACATTAAAAAAGAAAATTTTATTCACATACCACCATGCAATCACCTTCAATATTCAGATGATAAAGAGATCAAGCTATTGAGCTGAGTAATGAAAATTAAAAAATTTCAGGAATTAGGCCAATTGCCTAAAGTAGCAGTAGGTGTGACTCGCTATGGAAACAACATGGGAAGGCTAGAGAAACAACTTCGAGTTGGAAAAGCTTTTAAAAGCGTATGAAGTACCCAGCTGTGGCCTCCTTGATTTTAAGGACTTTACACACAATTTCCGTTCTTATAAATAAAAAGAGCTTTCTCCTAGCTCACTTCATTATAAGGGGAGCTGCAAAAATGCAGACCCACCTCACAGGGTGGGATTTTCACCTCGGTGATTTTTCCAGGCAGCCCGGCACAGTGGGGGCCCTGGGCAGACTGGGGCACTGACTGCCCGCACTGCCCATGCCCTGCCTGGGGTTTGCTTGGGGACAGCAGCTGCCCCAGGTCCCCCAAGAACTGCCCCTCTGGGTGTCACTGCCAGGCAGCCACAGCTCACTGTCACACCATCAAGCCCAGGCAAACTTTTCTTGGTCCAACCATTAGAGACTTTCCATGGTAGTTTGACCCATATCACAGAACTCAATGGTAAATTCGTATTTTACTTCCTAGCTCCATGCAATAGGATTAGCACTATCAGAGTGAGAAGATATTCTGTGTCGCAAAGGAAAAAGAAAAAAAAAAAAGAAAGAAAAGGGAAAAAAAAAAAAGCACTAAAAGTGTCCAGTCATTTGAGAAATCATTAACTTATGATGTTTGGTATATCAGATTAAACAATCAAAGAGAGTAAAAATTATAGAAAGGAAAAAATCTCAAGCCTCCCAACTCAATTTAAACTCTTAATTTTGTATCACTCTCCCTCTCTCTAAATCTAGAGGGAAAGGTTATTTTGAGCAATATTTTTGGATTCTATAATTAAGCAATTGAATGAGAGAAACAAAGAAAATAATGTAAAATTCTAAAAATGCACAGGATGCCAGAGGGCCCTATTTTCTAGTTTACTAGGAGAAACTGATCAAATGACCTATGAAGATTTTACAATTTTCCTGCCAGAATCCATCCCCAACCTTGCCCATGGCAACAAGTTTTGCAGCACAAGGAGGACAGAGCCAGAAACACACCAAAAAAGTTACTTGCTTCCTCCTTTCTCATCCTACCCTGTTTGTAATTCAGTTCACATGAGAAGATGAAGCTAATGAAGAAAATTAGTAATGAAACATCAAGCTTGGAATGAATAACATCAGTTATTGGTGCATTGGTAACCATTGCTTATGGTCACATAAGGAACCAGTGACTCAGTTTCTACTTAGATGGATTATAAATATTTTTATTGATGCTATTATAATTTCAAAAATTTTGAGGACTGGTGAACCATACAGAAAGAGTAATTCATACATTTTAAAAGGTTGTTGAAGAACACGCATACTTGTGGTTTACATCACACTTAAATCTACAGTAGAACAAGTTGTGTAGCTAGAAGGTTTGGGAGGAACACATCTAGACCAGCCTTCAGAAGATGTGCCAGCTACTTCCATGAGCTGCAGTCCTCAATTATGGACATTTTCATACATATTGCCCTTCTGTTTCTTACTTTCTGCTGCAGCTGGACTACCTGCTCCCTGCCTCCTGCGTGATCCTAACAACTACCCTGATTACGGTGCATGCTTACACAGCTTTTGGCAGATCCATAGGGACTTTCCAAACACCAATCTTTTTAAAGAACTTCTGACAGCACTGAATGACTATTTTCTGTTCTTATAACCATGTTTTTATTTTAAAGTATTATGGAAAGTGTGAGTCTTCAAACATAGAAACTGTTTGGTGCTGCTATTCATACTGCATTTTGCTGGAGCATATATAACAATAAGAGTGTTTTGCTACTAGAAGTCAATGGGAACTACTCCTTGCAATTTAAACAACACTATGCTCCTACGAATCTAAAAGGGAACTAAAAAAGGGGGGGAGTGAGGGGAGAAGCCTACTGTTATAATTTCATAATTGAAGAAAACTCTGAGCTTTGATTCTGTTATAGAAAAACTGCCAATTTGAGTACAATCTTAAAGAACAGAATATTTCCTGAAAAAAAAAAAAAAAAGCAAAAAAGCGCTTTATCTCCAGAATGATCAACAGAGACCAAAACCATTTCATAAGTAGCCATATCCATCCATCTCTTTGAAGGTCTTAGGTGACGGCGGGAGAAATAAGAACCCCAGAAAGCGAACTGAGGCAGGATACACCTGTGGGCGCACCCCCTCCCTGCTGCCCTTGCTCAGCCCTCGCCTCCCCAGGCGCTGGGATGCGCGGAGCGAAGGGGAGCACCGGAGACCATCCCTCCGTGCCCGACCCGCTGGAGCAGGCAGCCAGCGGGCTCCCGGCGGGGAGGCGCCCGCCCCAGCGGGGCCGTGCCCGGGACACCGGCGCGGCCGCGGCCGGCGGGGTCGCCGTCGGTGCCCCGGCACCGGTCTCTTCTCCCCGTCCGTCGGAGGAGGAGCTGCGCGCCCCTCGCTTCCCCTGACACTTGCCGTGCCCGCGGCCGGCAGCCCCGAGCAGCGGAGCGAAGGCGGGCACGCTCACACCACGGCGGAGCGCCCACAGACTGTCACCTCCGGCACACAACACGCGTCCAGCGCCCGGCGGCACCGGGGCTCCCGCGGCGGCGGGCGAGCCGCGCTCCGCCGCCCCTTCCCCTCCCACGCCGGGGCTGCCGGCCTCGCCCCTCCTCCCGCCGCCAGCCCCGCGCAGCCCCGGGGCTCGGCCGGCGCCTCCCGCCCGGCCCCACGTGTCCGGCACCCCCGGCTCGGGGGCGGCAGCCGCGGCCCCGCCGCCCGGCCCGGCCCGGCGCGGCCCGGCCCGGCGCGGCGCGCACTTACTCCGCGGAGCCTCCGGGGCGGCGGCGCGGGCCCGGCGGCTCCCCGAGGGCGCCCGGCGGTAAGTTTCGAGGAGCGCGGAGCCGCGCTCGGCGGGGAGGGGTTTCGGGGAGGCGGCGGCGAGAAAACTTCCCTGGAGCGGCTCGACCGCCTCCTCCGCCTCCTCCCGCCGCCGCCGCCGCCTCGCCCGGCGGCAGCACCGCGCCTGCCCGGCCGCGCCGCCCGCTGCCGCCGCTCCCGGCCCGCCGTCACACCCCAGAGCGCCGCTGGCTGCCCCCATTCCCGCCCCACCAGCACACAGTTTTAAAATTATTGTTTTCTATATCTCTTTTTTTTTAAATTTTATTTCTAAGAATTAAGATGTTATTAGCGAGGGAAGGATGGGCCCTGAGGAATGCCGGCTTCCTGCAGCGCTGCCGGGACGCCGGGGACGGCTGCAGGTCACACACCCCGAGTCCAGCTGGCAGCTCCGTCGCTGGCTTGGCAGCGCCGGGCCCGCAGCGTGAGCAGTGGGAAAGGTACCGGCAGCATCCCCTGGGCCCAAGGGCTTGTCTGACACCGCTCCTCACCATTGTGGGTAGAGCCATCGCTTGAAGGCACAGAATGAGTCAAGACGTCAAGGTCTGCATGGGAATGCTGCACGGGAGAAGCTGTGCTAGGCATGCGGCACCTGACCCCCGCGGACTTCGGATCATCCCTAAAATCCGAGCTTGTACACATCCACCCCTCCTCATTACCCATGAAGAGAGAAAGCGTGGGTCAGATTCCATATCTCTTATGCTGCAGAACAGTCGTGGAACATCGTCTTCACTTCCTCATCACAGAGGCGTGAACTTAGTCCCTGCATAAGGTGTATAGCACGGGCATCCGAGTATAACACAGATGAAAGCCCTGCTCAGTCTGGCAGCCTGGTCCAGACAATGAAGCAAGCGGAGCTGCTGGGGTTTTTTTTACCTATAGTTGTAAATATGAACACTGCAGTCCAGGCCTTCTCCTCCTCCCTTTCTTCTTCCTTAAACCAAAAAGGAAAAAATAGTTGCCATTGTTTCAAGTTCTTCCATTCCACTTCTTTGTGTTGAGTACATACTTTTCCACTCTTTTCTTTTCCCAGCTTTCTTGGTGTGCTTTTATGCCAGTTTCAGAAAGTAAAAAACCTATCTCTACCTTTAAAGAAATTGAAATTATGTCCCCACAAGCATTTATGTAGGTATACAAGTAATGCCATTTAAATCACTAGAATATCTAATGTTCATCCTGAAGGATGCAAAGCACATGGAGTCCATTTTAACTTTTTAAAAAATTTAAGGACTTTTTCCTCCACGTTTCTTTTCCAGTCCTGTAAATTAAAGGGTGAGAGCTAATTAAAATGTCGTACATGGGGCCATATACAAAATACTCGCAGAGTCTACATTCTTCTGAAGTTAAATTAATCCATTAGGCTGTATTTTGTCTTGACAAATAGAAGATATTTATATATTTTTTTTAATTTTTATTGTACTTGTATTACTTGAACATTGTATTTCTTGTTCAATATAAATTCAAGGTACAAAGCTGAGTTTAATTCCCACTAAATCCAGTAGCCAAAACTCACCTTGACCCACAACAATGGGATAATGGATTTTTACACTGCAGGGAAGCAGATTAAATTGTTTTTGCATACCTGAGGTGAGAATGTGATCTATAGGCTGTAAAAATTTTGGTTCACAGATTATGAGAAAGACTCAAGAAAGGTAAAGTTGCAGATCCACTTGCTCCCTTGCAGTGGAATATGTAATGGAGAACAGCACATGTGATTCTATAAAAATCTCCTTTTAAAAATTCTGTAAAAATATTTAAGAAAGTCTCTGCCAGCGCACATCTAATTCTGCAGAGGTGCTTTTATTTTTGTGTTGGATACCTGAGGATAAAATGCCAGTGTCCGTTGCAGCATGAGCAGAATTGTTGCACAGGCATGCAAGAATGCTGGCAATACATCTCCAAGGAGGACCATGCTAGCCCTCAACTTGCTTATAAAAGTGTGGATCTCCTTCCTACAGGAAGCGCTAGACCTTATGGTGGTAAGTTATGTGTATTGTCTTAGATTTGGCTTAGCAGTATTTCTGTTAGATTTCCTTTTCTGCAGGATTTTGAGCTGTTTATGTTGTGAGAAGAATCAAGTGAAGCCCATATAATAGTTAGGCACTAAGTAAAAAATCAGCATCATTACCCTTTACAATAGGAAATTGGTAAACATGGTTTATAAATCAAAATGTTTAGAATAGCAGTGAGATTGCCATCCTGCTTCCTAGAGTCCAGACTAATGAGTTGTCAAGCATCTGCTGTTGCTACTGGATTAAAAACCAGTTGTGAAAACTCCCTCCCACCCCAAGAGCTGTCAGGTCACCTGCTGCCATTTATCCCCTTATCTGCAATAGAAACCTCTTTAATGTTAAGTGGTTTATTCGACCTATAATGTCAGCTAAAACTGGTGTGGGTCTTCCTTATATAGCTAATGAATTTCAGTAGGAATAGTAAGAAAGCATATTAGGTCTGACAACTCATAGCCCTGAAATTTGAAAGACCGATGCCTTTGAGAACTGACAGTAATGCCAAGGTAAACAGTTCCTTTTCTGTTATTCTTTCACTCCTCAAAACAAGCACCTCTCCAAATCTGAGAGCTTCTGGCAGGTATGATGAATGGCAAATCCTAATGAATCCCATGGTTTGGCCAGAAGTGTTAGGACTTAGCACTCTGTACAAATTCTCATCTGAAACAGGAGTATCAGGAGCCAATTTCTTGAACATAATTTATTCCAGACACTAGCTGGAATAAACAGCATTCTGTAACCTCCTCAGATACTTTGCCAGTAGGGAGCTGTCTTTACACTTCTTTCAACTGAGCAAGGGATCAAAATACAAAATTCATCATTCAAGAATACAGTGTGGTTTAAGAAACTGGAGGATTTGAGTTCATTTCCAGGGACTTTTTTGTGTCCTATCTGTATGACATTTTCTTTCTGAATCAGGTCTGCTGTGGTTTGCTGCTACCTTGCCCTGATGAGTTAAAAGAACCCCAGCACTCAGGTTTAACTTTCTAGAAGCATCTCAAGCTTACATTCAGTTTCTACAATATGTTTCACTTAAGTTTCATGCTAGAAAGAAAGTATAAAATGGGAGTTCCTTAATTGGTAAATGTTCTTTTGTCTCTCTCAAAGTCTTTTCAGACTTTGATTCCTTCAGTCACCAACGGATGTTTTGTTACAAACAAAAGAATTGCCATAAGTATAAACCTGACTTATCCGTGCAAAGAAGGATAAATAAAACTCAGCTTTTCAATTCCAGGGTCAGATGCTGTCCTTAGCTACATGTAGATGTAATTAAAAGCAAGATTTTTATTACTACGAAAAAATACAATATTCAAATAGTGCATAATGGCTTCTAATGGAACCAGGAGAGGTTTCTGAGACAGATAATATTGGGATCCAGGACAAACTGGCACCCATAATGCCGCGTTGGTGAGCCACATGTGACAGCAGATCTCCACCTACTCCTTTAAAAGGTCCCACGAGAAGACAAATAACAAATAGTCCATTCAAATGTTAATCTGTCTCATCTTCTAACTCTTGATTATACTTTATTTATTTAAACTCCTCAAAAGAAACCTTTTTCATATGTGATGCTTATGTTCTCAATACCTCCAATGTTTATCTTCCATGTGATTGGATGATTTAAATATAATTTAAAATATTTTTCCCTCTGCTATGCTGCTCATCCCTACCCCATCCCCCCAGTAATACATTATTCTGTCGCTATCTTTTTGATAAGTGATTGTCTAGAATTAATGAAGATGGAGGTAGGTGGGAAAAGCAGCCATTTAGCATTGTGTGGAGGAGCAGATAAGATGGTCTTCCAGTTTCATAATCTGCTAATTGTGTCACTGCAGATAGGAGCTTCCCACGTCTCCAGGTCAGTGGGAGAAGTCCCTCTGACTTCCAATGACTTTTGAGCACTGTTTTTTTTCAGTATCTGAAAATTAATCTCGGATGCTAAGGTCTAACAATGTAGACACTTATGTTTTAGTGAAACTACCCACCCAACTATTTATGAATACAAGGATTTACAGAATCTTACTCATTAAGTAACTGGCTAAAACCAGAATATAGAGTGAATTTTTAATGAAAAATGTGTTTCAAACTGTCTGGCTGTTTTAATTGTGCCTTAGTTCATTAAGATCTTAAAACTGAATACTCCATGTGCAGTGAAAGAACATCCTTAACCTTGATCTCTCCACAACTCTAGATGAGGTTTTTTAGCAGTAAAGGCCTGAAATCAGAAGCCTGTGTACCTAACATAGGTATTAACGGGAGGCTGAACCATTCAGAGTGACAAACCACTTGTTTAATGTCATATTCTGCCAGCATGGACTTGTGCATTATTTAACATAAGACCACTTGTAAAAGTAGTTAAGTGCAGTCATTACTGCAAATTTTGAAGTGCATTTTATCAGGTACAGAAGTTTAATCAATGGAGTCTTGGGAAACTTGTATATATTTCACATTCTTTGTTTTTCTTTAGAACATTATGACTCGATTTAACTCCCAGCAGTCTAAGAGTCTGGTCTATGGAATATAATCAGTTTTGCTGACAGTGTTAAGTCTTGCTTATCTGTCATTACCTGTATCCTCACTAGGTTCAATAAAGAACATTTCTTAGTATATTTGAGGAAAATAGTGTTTGTAACAGCTTCAGATGTCTTCGAAGAAAATATTAACTATTATATAAGGCAAATATTTATTGTAATGATGACAAAATAAAAAAAATGTATTCTTTTAATGAGTAAAATTACACTAAGGCATTGCAACGCATTTCTGACAAGTTAATAGGAAAAAGTATCATCCTTAGATATTAGGGGAAAAATACTGGAATTTAAGATTACCATATCTGAGTTTGCTCAAGTCCCTTCTGATCCCAAGTCTGGAAATACTCTAGAAAGAGAATTTTTTTTGTCAAAAAATTTAACGAAACGGCGAATTTTAAGTAAGTATTTTCCCACGATGAAATTCGACAGTGCAAACGTGCTAGGAACAAACCAGGGGGCAGGGGAAAGCGGTGCCTCCCGGCCGCAGCTGCCCCAGCCGAGCCGCGCTCGCCGCCCGCTCCGCTCCGCCTCCGGGGCCCAGGGAAG